CTCCCAAAGTGGGGACATGTGCCCAAAAGCAACCCAAAGAGCAGATATGCTCCCAGCTGGAGAGCAGACTGCCAGGGGACGAGGCCACCAACAAGGATGGACCCTGGGGGACTGCTTGTGCCAGTGGGGAGGGAAGGAGGGAGGGACTGACACCCACCACCCCAGAGCTCTCTGGGCACCACTGGAAGAACCCAGGAGGGAGCAAGGGAGATGATGGCCAGCCCTCATTGTCTCCTTAATGCTGGGGTAGGGGGAACCTGCTAGCATAGGGGCCGCAAGGAGTAAACGCAGGTCCTGAGAGCAAAACACCCACCGTGAGAGGAAGATAAGGGGCCATTCCCTGGGGATCTGATCTACGACATGGAGGAGAGGGTGGAGGTGCAAGAGATGCTCCCTGCCTCCCCCACAGATGTAGCTCTGACACCCAAACGACACTGAGTAACAGAAAATCCCGCAGGCAAGTGAAGAGGTGAGTAGCTGTGCTACTGGAGTCCTAGTCATAGAATCACAGAGGGGTTTGTGTTGGAAAGGACCTTCAAAGACCATCTAGTCCAGCCTCTCTGCCATGGGCAGGGACACCTTCTACTAGACAAGGGTGCTCAAAGTCCTGTCCAACCTGATCTTGAACATTTCCAGGAATGGGGCATCCACAACTTCTCTGGGCAACCTGTTCCAGCATCTCACCACTCTCATTGTACGCCGTTTCTTCATCGTGCACTCTAAACCTACGCTCTTTCAGTTTAAGACCGTCACTACAGGCTTTGGTCCGAAGTCTTTCTCCATCTTTCTTATAAGCCCCCTTTATATATTGAACATCTGCAATCACGTCTCCCCAATCCTTCCAGAGTGCCCAGACTCAGGCAAAGGAATTTGTAGGTGGGGAGAACAGCGATGATACCTTACCACCTCCATGGTCCCACCTAATCTGAGGGTCCAGCATGGACAGCCCACACCACAAAGAGCTAATCTTGCTAATCTTGGCAGGAGTCACCCGCTGACAGGTCCCAGGCAGGCAGGTGTCTGCATCCACGATTTCTTGAAAGCTGGGAGATGGGCAATCTCCTGGACAGGGCCTTGGCTCCCAGAATGGACTGAGGAGCTGCAGCTCCCAGTACCCCTCTACTTGTGTGAACGTGCCTCAGTTTCTCTACCTGGGCCACAAAGAAGACGACAGTGACACCCTTTGACACTGCTAAACAACACAGCTCCTTGTGACCATTACCCACAGCCAACCTGGAGAGCTGAGACAGGGAGCTCCCAGATCCCTTCAAGACAGCTTTCATCACCTTATTTTATGGAAAAGGAAGCTGAAGCAGAGAGAGAGAGGAAGGGGCTTTTTTTGGAAGCCAAAGCAAAAATCAATGTCCAGGTCAGATTAAAATTCAAGGGCCGATGTTCAAATGGCCAACTGTCTCCTGGGCTCAAACCACTGGGCCATGCCTGGGGAAGAGAGAGGTCTGAGCGAGGGCAGGTCCAGCCTGCAGGGCTGTCTTCCACCTTGGCATCCATTGGGGTCTTTGTGTGACTGACAGCTTTGCAATTTTATTACATTTTTATTGATCCATCCCCTGCAGCCTCAGCACATCTGCTCCAGCTGCAGGAGCCCCGCTGGGATGTGTGCTTATTTACACAGCTGTGAAGGATTTCCCCAGTCAAGTTCATTAACTACATGAAGGAGACGAGCTGTTCTTTCTCACTATTAAGAGATTTCTGCCACAGAGGCCTCCTCCCGCCCCCCTCTCCTTGCTAGACACTTCTGCAGGACACGGGAGGACTGACCTCGGGAAGAGACGAGTGCTGCTCTTGGGAGCACCCATCGGTTCGCATCCCTTCTGCCTGTGCAGGAGCTGGAAGCTTTACCTGCCTGTGTGGAGAGGGTTCCCCTTTTTCTCTCCATCGGGTACCACTAACAATTCCCTTCTTTTACGTGTCTTCCTCTTTGCTCCCTCAGCAGTTAAGGAAACAGACTTAAGGAAAGAAGCTAAACAGCATTGATGCTGCTGGAATTGTTTCTGGCAGAGTGATGAGATGAAAGGGCAGTTGCACAGGGGTAAGTGACCCAGGGCACAGCAAGGACAGTCATGGACCAGCACTGGGGTGGCTGCCTGGAAGGGAGCACGTTGATCCGCAGTCATGCAAGGAGGTAGCACATCCCAGGAACACAGAGCGGGCAGCCTGAGGGATCTGGGCTAGCAGACATGGTGACTGAGTGCCCATCAGACCACTTGGACCACGAGACCTGTCCCTGCAGAGAGTGGAGGAGAGCAAAGCCCTGGCCAGCCCTACCCCAGTTCTGCCTGAGCCAAGAAATGCTCAGCCCAGCCCCAACACTCACCTCCCCGGTACGTCTTCCAGGTGTAGTACTTCCCTCGGAAGGGGACGTTATCGAATTCGGCACACTGCAGCTCTCGGAAGTCCTGGGAGCCGGGTGGGCAGTCCTGTGGCCACACAGCCAGCGATCAGCACGGTGGTGAGAGCAGCCTGCACTCTCTGCTAGGAGAGCAAGAGCTGCTACAGGGCTCCCAGCCATGACCAGCCCTTCGAGGAGATGGACACCAGCCCTGACAACTGGATACTGCTATAGTATGGCAGAAGCATCCTTCCTGCAAAGCTAAACACTATCTGAAGACTAAAACTGCAGATGCAATCCTTTGAACCCTGGGTGCAAAGCCCAGGGGAAGCAGTAGGGAGCATCTGCTGTCCTTACTGCCAGTGTGTGGTCGTTAAAGCTACCGCTTCCCAGGTCCAAAACTTTACTGAGCTTCCCTGCAGCTCACTTACCTTTCTTTGCTCCCCTCCAGGTTTAACCCCCAGCCCTGGCAAGCTACCTGCACTGGCAGCGTGTGAGAGGGGCACTCGCTGCCATTGCAGCGCTGGAAGCCTCTGATCTCTCCCCCTTTGCCTTGTTATCTGTTTGGGCCCCTTCTTGATGCTGAAGCCCCGCAGGTACGAACCACCCACCCACCTTCTGAGCCAGCTTGCAGCCAGCACGGGCGTGCACGGTCCTGCTCGGCTTTCCCCACAGCAGGATTGCTGCCGGCATGGCACAGCTCACCCCCACCCAGCCGCCTGCTCCCGTGGGCCCCACAGCTGCACGTAACACCCCGCATCCGTGCGCAGAGGGCTCATCCCTCCCTCCTTGCTGTGACACATTCTGCCTGCCCCACCAGCAAAGCCCTGCCAGCCCACCGCCGCTCCTCTCCCCAAGCCTGGCGGTACTCACGTCGGTGTTGCAGGACCGGTACCGCTTCCGCTCTCCCAGGCAGTACTTCCCCCCGATCGTGGGCCTGCCAAACCAGCACCGAGAGGGGAGAACCCGCGTAGGGCATGCTTGCGGCAGGCGGCTGCCCCAGTGTGCAGCAGCACCATGGCTTTTCCCAACCCTGCTCCGCTGCAAGGACGGATCCTGCCTGGAGGGGCTCCTGCAGAAGCGCGGTGCCCCTGCAGACCTCGCACGCTCAGCTGCAAGCGCACGGTGCGGTCGTACAAGTGGCTTTGGGTCTGTGGCTGCGGACCCAGCAACAAAGCAAGAGCACTGAGCTGCTCTGAAAGCAGGATGCGGGATTTGCGTGCAGGAGCCAAGTCCCTCCCAGGAACAGGCACCTGCTGCCTTCGGCATTGACCCGAACAGGGATACCGTACGGCCAGGACGAGGCAGGGCCACGCTGACACGGCCACACACGTGTGCACC